TAGGGAAAAGAATTGCTGTGTAACCATGCCCCATTAGGGTAGGGTGGGGGAGAAAACATGTGGCCCCTGGCAATTATAAATGGATAGATAGATAGAAAGAGAAAAAAAAGCAATGGTTTGCAGACTTTTTAAGCTGCTAGAACCCTTTTTCAAACGAGCTCATATTTCTGGACCCTCAACTTAGAAAACAGAAATGTTATTTTATCACTAATAATACTGACTTGTAAAAGTTAGTCACAACCCTGGGGGTATAGTGGGCCATTACTATCTGATCTTATCCTCAGTCCTCCCAGTTTTTGGTTACCCAATATCAAGAAAATCTTAATTCCAGTAGATAAGCAGTAGTTAGTGGTGATGGCACTACTGCTATTTAATAGTTCACTTTGCAGCTTCACTATACTTTTCAGTTAAGCAAAAATAGCACGAAAATTTTTTTTTCTAAGTCTATATAGAAATTAACCAGTCTTGGTACCAGCAGACGACATTAATGGTTACATCGGCAGACTCCCATGTAGTTGTCTGCAGTTCAACTCTTGGATCTGGCAACTTAAAACTCAAGCTGGGCACATTTGTGTGCGTGCCCAAGATCCTGAGAGGAGAATAGAGAAGGGATTGCAGCATGGCCATCCCCACAGGGGGTGACTTCTTGCTTTCTGTCTCTGTCTCTCCAGCAAGCACACGTGCCTTGTAGCAAAAAAAATCTCTCAAAAAAAAAAAAAAGAAATTAACCAGCCTTCCTTATTTGTTGTTATGTCTCCAGATTCTCACATACTGGCTGGACTCTGACAGGTGCTGAATTAAATATTTGTGTCATGAAGAAATGAATGAACCTAAGCATTAGTATTCTACAGTGGGTTACATTTTTATATATTAACACATGTCTGTGGGAATTATTATTTTAAAAAGATAGATGCATGCAAGGTTTGAATTAAATGTTTATGAAACTAATGAATTACCTTGTCAAGACTAGATTCAACTGGGGCCATCAGGTGACATGGTGGTTAAGGCATTGGAATCCCAACGGCCGACCACAATTTGAGTCTCAGAGTTGGTGACTTACTTTCTCTGTCTTTCTCTGGGTAGTGCACATGCCCTATAGAAAATTATAAACAATAATCATATATTTATAATAATAATAAAATGAAATAATTTTTTAAACTCTTAAAAAACTCAATTCCACAATATTCAGTTTGAAACCCTGAACTTTAAGGACATTTTGCAATATATATCCTATGAAGATGGTGGACATAGTCTTAGCTCAGAATATCTTCAAGGCATATTCCTTTTTTTTCCTTTATTTTCCTTTTTTTGGAGAGGTTTTTGCTATAGGGCGCATGCGCTCGCCAGAAAGACAGAGAGAGACAGAAAGCGAGAAATCACCCCCCCAGTGGAGATGGCTATGCCGCAATCCCTTCTCCTCCATTCTCCTCTTGGGATCTTGAGCACGCACGCACATGTGCCCAGCATGAGTTTAAGACACCGGGTCTGGGACTTACAACACGGTCGACTACATGGGAGTCCAGCAACATAGCTATTATGCTAACTGCTGGCCCCTTCAAGGCATATTTCTTTTATCTTGTAATATTTTCCTCTGTAATCCAGTTTTTAAAATAAATAGTAACTTTATTTATTTTAATTTGACCAGAGAGACAGAAGTGAGAGAGAGAGAGAGAAAGTGAGAAATCAAGCTGCCAGGTCTGGGACTCGAACTGCAGTCAGCCATATGGGAGTCCAGCACCCCCAACAACCATGCCATCTACCAGCCCTAACTGTGGTATTTTTAAGCCATGGAGTCTAGGCTTAAAAAACACACCAGGTGTGTGTGTATGCATGCACAAAATCCCAAGAGGACATTGAAGAGAAGGGATTATGGGGTGGCCATCACCCTTGGGGGATGGGATGCTTTCTCACTTCTCTCTCTCTCTTCAGTGAACACACATGCCCTGTAACAAGTTTAAAAAAGAGAAGTTAAATAGTTTTGTTTCTTCATTGAACCTGGAATTTTACATTTAGAGGTTTTTCTTTTATTTTTTTTTCCCAATTATCAGTTGGAAACAAAGATATGAAGGGTATTTTCAAAATGCATGATTTTATGTAGAAACATGAAAGTTTGAGACTTTCTTTCCCTCTTATCCAAATAAAACTAGATTGCATATTGGCACAAATGTACTATACCTATATCATTAAAAATTGCAGGACCAGCCACAGTGTGCAGCAGTAACACTAGAGGCTATATCAGGGCTGTTTCTGGGTACAAGGCTGTTTCCTGTGCAAGTTGGGTACATGCGCTCTTATTCTTGATCTTTGGTGGCTTAGGGGGACAGCAGCAGTGGGGGGCGGGGGGCCTTGCAGCATCAGAACTAACTGAAGGTGTTGTTCTTTCTCTCAGTAAATAAATTTTTTTTTTTTAAATCAAAGTTCAGAGATCTGTCAGGTTTTGATGTTTTGTTTTACTCTTCCATTTGTCAATGTATTTGTCTGATTGACAGTGTTTTGGTTATCTTTTCTATGTAGATTTGTGATTTTGGATTGGCCAGAGTGGAAGAATTAGATGAATCCCGTCATATGACTCAGGAAGTTGTTACTCAGTATTATCGGGCTCCGGAAATCCTGATGGGCAGCCGTCATTACAGCAATGCTATTGACATCTGGTCTGTCGGATGTATCTTTGCAGAACTACTAGGACGAAGAATACTGTTTCAGGCACAGAGTCCCATTCAGCAGGTTTGATTTCACTTTAAAGCTTTCATAGCTGTCAATTGTATTAGATTTGAAGTAAAAAACCATTTTGCACGTATGTCTTGGGCTTGTTCATTGTACTGTTTCATTTGCTTTTTAGAAAATTCAGGTACACTGAAAAATCAGAAATATTACAGAGAGATTCATTTTGTAAGTTACAGACCTATTAGAGAGAGTGTTGATTTTATTGCCTGTACCGATGCGTGGCAGCAGACTGCTGTAACAATTTGCACAGGTATAACCTTCAGTTGTTAGAGGCCTCTGTTTTTGCTGAGTGGCTCTGACTTGAAAATGCATCTGGTAAAAAATAATTTTTAAAAATTAATGTTACTTTGCCTTTATAGCTAATTCATTAATATACATATTTTCTTTCTTTCTTTTTTTTTTTGGAGAGGTTTTTGCTATAGGGTGTGTGAGCTCTCCAGAAAGACAGAGAGAGACAGAGAGAAAGAAAGCAAGAAATCACCCTCCAGGAGGGATGGCCATACCACAATCTTTTCTCCTCCACTCTCCTCTCGGGATCTTGGGCACACGCGCACATGCACCCAGCGTGAGTTTAAGCTGCCGGGTCCGGGACTCGAACTGCAGTCGACTTCATGGGAGTCCAGCAACATAGCCTTTATGCCAACTGCTGGTCCCGATATACATATTTTCTTAGAATAATTCCCAAGTATTTTTTACTCACACATTTTAACAATATGGCTTTCATGAAAATAATGTAACAGCATTGAACTCAGGCTGTGGAATCAGACCTGTGAGTTCAAATCATAGTTCTGTCATCCACTATCTATTAAATCTTGGGTAGGTTATTTAGCTTCTCTGTTTATGTCTGTGTGTCTGTCTAAAAATGTTCTCAACATGATTGTGCAGATTAAATGAAGTAATAAAACTGAAAAGACATACCAAAAAAAAAAGGGAAACTGAAAAGGAGGCCTGGCACACAGTAAGCATTCAGTAAATGCAGTTATGATGGTGGTGTGCTAGGATACTAGGGATGTGGCAGTAAATAAGACAAAGTTATTCTTGCCTTTGTAAAACTTTCATATGAGACAGGAAATATGTATATAAATAACTACAATCCCAAGTCATAATAACTCTATAAAGAAAAATTAAACTAGGTTACAGATAGAGAATGATGATAAAACAGAGTGGCACTAAAGGATTCTCTGAGGGAATAACATTTCATCCATGTGAAATGAGGGAACAAGACACTGGTGAAGCGTTCCAGGAAGAGGGAAGCCAGCATGATAAAGCCCTGAGGCAGGAACGAGCATGGCATGTTGGAGGGATGGCACGAACAAGGGAGAACCCATTGGAGATGAATTTAGAGCAAAAGTGCCTGGCTATGGTGACCTCATAAGGACTTTGGATTTTATTTCTAAGTGTTATGGAAGACTCCATGAAGCATTTGAGCAAGGAAGTGTTAAGATTTGGCTGATCACATTTAAGAAAATGACATTGACTACTGTGTATCTTTGTAAATAATTCCTGCACTTGACCAGAACAGAATCATTTCTTTCTACAAAGAATTGTTCTTTCAGGGCCTGCAGGTGGTGAGGTGATTAAGGGCACTGGACTCACTCATGGGCAACTGGTTTGAGCCCCAGACCTGACAGCTTGCTTTCTCACTTTCTCTCTCTCTCTTTCACTCTCACTCACTCTGTCCCTCTCTGGTCAAATTAAAATAAATAAATAACATCAAATAAAATACTTCTTTAAAAAAAAAAAAAAAGAATTGTTCTTTCCACAAATTGTTAACTAGTATGTTAGAAAGAAACTATATATGCTATAATCTATATTTAAATGAAGTCTTTTTTTTTTTTTAAAGAGGTTTTTACCTTAGGGTCCATCCACTCACTGGAGAGAGATAGAAACAGAGAAAGTTTGAGAGAGAAAGTGTGAAATCACCCCCTGGGGGGGTGGCCCCACCACAATCCCTTCTCCTTCATTCTCCTCCCAGGATCATGGATATACACACACATGTGTCATGTGTGATTTTTCAAGCCACCGGGTCTAGGACTTGAACTGCAATCGACCATGTGGGAGTCCAGCAACATTACCTCTATGCCATCTACTGGCCCCCCCAAAGGTTTTTTGTTGTTGTTTTCTAATATACATCTTTAAAATTGATGTTGATAATAAAAAATTATCAGGTGCATTAATGTATAACACAATATTGGGTACTATTGACAATATCCACATTATTGTTCAATTTCTTTAGAAAATAGTTTAACAGACTTACCTGTGAGACTATCAGACAACTGGCCATAAGAAGCTGTCAAAAGATGAATGTGACTATTACCTTACACATAGAAAAACCTAAATAAACTAATAGTAGTAATAAAAGAGTGTTCAGATTCTATATATCAAACAAGGATCTTGGTTGTTGCTGAAAAGAACATGTAAAGGAGGATGTGAAGCAGCTGGAATAGAATTCAAATCTGATTTTTAGAGAAATGTGTAAGTCTTGTGTTTGCCTTTCTTACATAGCCATCGAAGGAGAACTCTGTTGTCAGTGTGTCTGAGGGTGAGAAATCAAGGTGTACAACAAGGAGAAAGTCTAACTACTAAATGGAATTAGTTATTTTTGTGTAGCATTTTCTCTGTATCTTTGAGAAATAATCACCCCAATATTATAGTAGATTTCATAAAAACACTTCACATGCATGGATCTGATCCAGTTTAGATTAACTTTCTGAGTATTCCTATTTTTTTGTTTGTTTGTTTTAGGTTTTTTTGTTTGTTTGTTTGTTTGTTTGCCATATGGCACAAACTTTCCAGAGAGAGACAGAGAGGGAAAGTGAGAAATCACCTCAGGAGTGTTGGCCACAATGCAATCCCTTCTCTTCCATTCTTCTTTTGGGACTTTTGGGCATGCATGCACATGTGCCTGGCATGTCTCCCAAGCTGGTAGGTCTTGAACTCAAACCTGGAGTGGGCCATGTGGGATCCAGCACTTGAACCACCATGCCACCTGCTGGCCCCTTTGTTCCCATTTTTTTTTCAGGAGCTAGTTGTTTTCTTCTTCCTTTAATGTTGTTGTTAGAGATCCAAAGTATGGCCTACTTATTTTCCCCAAAAAAACTTTGTGTAGAGGTCTTGCCTTCTGTGCAAGGTAGGCTTTTGAAGCATCTCCATTGTCTTGGAGGGAGGGAATGGTGGTCATCATCCCAGGGTTTAGATAAGAGCTGAACATAGTGCTTTATATTCGGCAAACCCAGAATTAGGAAAAGAAGTGTTCTCTAGTTAAAGGGATTCACATAAAATGTTATTGCCGATTAGGTTATGAAGTTAGAACAGTTGTTAATGCTACAGAACATTGGTAAGGTAGTTTGTTACCTACAAAGACTTGTTTGTGAGAAGACTATCTTATTGGTCTCTTTTATTGTGCCCAGCTAGCTAAATGTGGCCTTACACCATGTCATAGTTTTCTAAGTACCACAGTTTTCTGCCAGTACTAAGAGATTTCTAGCATGACTAGAATATAAATGTACTGGCCTAAACATTGAGAGCTTAACTTTCATTTCAGGTGCGAATGTTTTGAGCGTTTATTAAATCACACCTGTCTGATTTGTGGATTTGCTCTTTGATGAGCTTGGATCCATTTGAAGCATCTGAATCCACTCATTAACTGTTTGAAAAGAACACTCATTAGCCTTCAGCAGAGCAGTTCAGTTCTGTAAAGATCATAGATGCTGTGGTACAGGACAACAGGGCAGGCAGATGCAGACTCCATAATTGCTCTAGCCTTACCACATGCATGCCAAAACACATTTTCTATATTTCTATCATGAATTCCTGATAAATATCTTACTGTTCTGGTTTTTATTTTCCCTTCCTCTGTTGTAATTTCCGATTTACAATCATTGTATCTGTGTAGGGTACTGCGATATGGTTTTTCAAAGCATCATGCAGTTTGTAGTTAATCGAGGATATATCAGTGCTGGCCAGTGGTATGGTGGTTGAGGCGCTGGATTCCCACATGGCTGACTGTGGTTCAAGTCCTGGGCCTGGTAGCTTACTTTCTCTTTCTCTCTCTTTCCTTGTGTCCCTCTCTGGTCAAATAACAGTAACAAATAAAATTAAGTAAATGATGTTTTTAATCAAGGATATAGACATTCTTCTTATTTGACATTGAACACTACATTACATAGTTCTATACATTCCCCTCCCTTTTCTGGAAGTTTATATTGAATTGTCAAGTCACTTTTTGCTACGCTGTGATCCACTGTCCTGTAACCTATTCTACTTATTTTACATGCATTTTTGTGTCTGATAAACATTTTTGGGGGGGGTGGAGGTTTTTGCTATAGGGTGCGTGCGCTCACCAGAAAGATGGACAGAAGGCAAGAAAACATCCCGCAAGGAGGATGGCCACACCTCAGTCTCTTTTCCTCCATTCTCCCCTTGGGATCTTGGGCACACATGCACATGCATCTGGTATGAGTTTAAGTTATCGGGTCCAAAACTCAAACCGCAGGCGACTACATGGGAGTCCAGTGATGTAGCCATTATACCATCTGCTGGTCACAAACACTTTTGATTTTGTTTTTAATCAACCAGAAAGTAAAAACAGGGGCTCGTGTCTGTTAATATAGAGCTTGTCTTAGGGGCTTTTGTCCCCCACATTTCGTCCCCGTATCTAAGGCTGTAATGTAAGAGTAACAAAGGATTGTTTCCATGAGCTTGCTATAAGTCTGTCTTTTGTTTCCTTGCAGTTGGATTTGATCACAGATCTGCTGGGTACCCCATCACTGGAAGCAATGAGGACGGCTTGTGAAGGCGCCAAGGCACACATACTCAGGGGTCCTCATAAACAGGTAACAGAGGAGGGGATACGTGTGTGATAACCATCTATTTGTGTAGGATTTCCCTCCTAATAGAATAATATAGAGAGAATTTTGTAAATACATTTCATTTATTTATTTATTGTGTGTTGGGCACAGCATTCACCAGAGACAGACAGAGAGAAAGAGACAGTGGGAAATCACCCCTGTAGGGGAGATGGCCACTCTGCAATCCCTTCTCCTCCATTCTGCTCCTGCACTTTTAGGCACACACATGTTCCTGAGGTGATTTTCAAGCCACTGGGTCCAGAACTCAAACTGCACAGCTGGCCATGTGGGATCTAGTGCCTTTACCTCCACGTCACCTACTGGCCCTGTATTGAGAATTTTTAAACAAAAAATGTAAGTTTTACTTAATGTTTTATATTATGACCCAAAGTAAGAAAATATTTAATAGTCATCAAAAATAGTCTCTTTTTTTTAATTATTTTATTGAACTTTATTTTTATTTGTTTGTTTGTTTTAATTTGACCAGAGAGAGACAGAGAAAGTGTGAAAGCAAGCCGCCAGGGCCACGACTCAAACCAAGGTCAGCCATGTGAGAGTTCAGTATCCTTAACCACCACACCAAAGGCACTGGACTCCCACATGGCTGACCTTGCTTTGAGTCCTGGACCTAGTGGCTTGCTTACTCACTTTCCACCTTTCTCTCAGCTCACTCGCTCTCTCCCTCCTTTCCCCACCTCCAGTCAAATTAAAAAAAAAAAAAAAAGTTGTTTTCTAATGCCATAGGAGAAACTATATAGCTTTATAGCCCCTTTGCTAATCAGTGAGCCCTGGCTCTGTGTCCCCTGGCTTATTGCTGTATATAGTTGGAGCTTTGACCTCAATGCCATAACCTAGTATATATATATCAAGATATCCTTCTAAGTAAAGAGCCAAAATACCTAGTATCTCTTATTCCAGCCAGTACTGTGAAGCTGTTGCTGTTGTCCTCTTGCCACTAGCAGAGACTCAAGGTGTGAATGTTACTAGAAAAAACTATAAAGAGAGATTTCCAGATTTGCACTGATCAGTGTTACTTGGGATCAGCCAGAATCACTGCTGAGAAACATGGGATGGTTTTTATCTCCACCTGTTGGTTTAGCAGGATTTTTTTTACAAGTACCTTCCTAATCTCTTTTAGACTTAACAGCTTAATGATGTGAAGAATGAGTAAGGGGAATATTTTCCCTAGAAACAGTAAGCTGAAACAACAGATAAGGCTCAAACAGAGTGAGCTGGCAACTAATTTTGCCATGTGTTCTTTCAAATTGAGCATTTCGATGATCTGATTGATGGTACCGAATGACAGACTGAATTTGACACTCGTCAAAGTACCAGTCAGATGTTTAGTCAATGCCTCCCTTCCTTCTTGCAGTTCGCTCTCTATAATTCTAGTGTGGGTCCAGAGCTTCCCTATTTCACAGCTATAAAGGGCAATGAGGTAAAGTGTGTTATTTGCTTCTAAAACTGGCCCAGGCTAGTAAATAGAATTGCATGCTTGTATTTTAAATAGCCCCTGGATGGTTCCTTCTTTCTGTTACATTTCGTTTAGAACTGTAAAGTAATGTGAGGCCCTAACACCCTTAGAAGACACTGTAAGTCTTAACCTAGCCGAAGATTCTATATTGTAGAAGGAACTAACATGCCAGCATCAGAAACATTAAACAAATTTGTGGAAAACTCATGGTAAATGCATCTTTGGAAGTAGCAAAATATTTTTCCCTCTTTTACTGATTTCATTAGGTCCATAAATCATGACTAGCTAAGATAGCCAGTAAGAAAAAGTGAGCAAGATCAGATGCCCTGGTGCCACTCTTCTGTCTCTAGTGGAGTTTGAACTATTGCTAGTGGCTGTCAGCTAATGAATACTCTGTGTCAGAGAGCTGCTGAACAGCAGCGTAGAGGGCAAGTCTTCTTGAGTTTTCTGCTTGCTGTCTAGAACAGCTCTAAAACAATTTACTACACCAAAAGTCACTGTGCTGCTTTGAGCATTCCTGGCAAGGTCTTTTCTACCAGAGAATTTAGTTAGTTATTAGTTAGTTTTTGCCATACGGCACATGAACTAGCTGAAGAGAGAGACAGAAAGTGAGAAATCACTCCAGGGAGATGGCCACACCACAGTCCCTCTCCTCCATTCCCCTCTCGGGATGTTGGGCATGCACACACACACACCCTGCTTGATTTTCAAGCTAACAGGTCTAAGGTTCAAACCATGGTCAGCCATGTGGAAGTTGAGCCTTAACTCCCACACCACTTGCTGGCCCCTTTATATTTATTTTTTAAATAAACTTTATTCATTCATTTTTCCCATGAGAAAGCAGAGATAGAGAGGCCCCCTATAGGATCTTTACATCACAAGCATGTTTATACCTGGGTGCTCAGGGAGATCCTAGAGCATGAGCCCAGACCCTTTCCCAGGTGAGTCCAGTTATGTTACCACTATGCTGCCATCCTGTCCACTACGCAAACTGTTTAAAGTTAGTTGTAAAAATCCTAGAGCTTTCAATGAAATAAAAATAATAAATAGAAGGGCACTTCAAAAAGCTTGTGGAAAAATGAAATTAAAGCACAAATTTGAGGGACTAACAGATAGCATAATGGTTACAGCACTGGATTCCCACATAGTTCAAGTCCCGGACCAGGAGGCTTAACCTTAACACTGGGCATCAAGTCAAATAACGGAAAAAAGAGTTGAAGGTATATGTTGGATTCACCATTGCCTGGTCTGCCCTCACCTGTTTTAGATGTTGTACCCATCTTAGCATTCAAGAGAATAGATACCATATGACTAGTCAACCTGGGTCCATTCTTGGAACTGGGAGACTAAAATCAAGCAAACCATTTGGTTTTGGAATGAAAAGAGTGGTTCCCTAAAGGTCAAGGCATATCAGTCAGGGGTGGTGGGGAAAGAACACTGTACAATATTTTTTTATTTATTGCCTGTTTTATACAACTAAAAATCTTGGATGAAAGGAAGATTAGCTGCCACAGCCTAAGCATCTAGTAGAGAAGATTCTTGTTGAGGTATTGACCTATTGATGGGTTCAAAAAGTCTGTCAGCCCTTAGGCCTTTGTTCATCTCTTACAAAGTGTAGAGTTTCATTTTTCCTCAGTTTATTTCCAGCTAATTATATCAGACATAGATGAAATATTTTCACTGAAGTGAAAATAACCCTGCCTTCTGACAGGAACCATACCTTACATTTAATTCATTCAAAGGGTGCTAAGAGATTCTTTCAGGTCAAGCTTGTTTTGTAGGTAGGTCTCTCTTACGTCATCTCCAGGCACCTGCTGTAGTGCACCGTGCAATGTGCGTGCTCAGTTCGGGTTCTGCCTGGGCATCACAGCTTCTTTCTTTTCCGCCAGCTAATGTCTAGAACTTCGGCAGGTGCAGTGGGTGAAAGCTGACAGGAACATCTGCTCGGGGTAATCACGAGCATGGCTGGCTCTCCCATGGCAGCCAGCACTCTGCAGTTAGTCATGGTGACTGTGGCATTATTCAGAGCCTCTCACCCAGGTCCAGAAGCTCATCTTTGCTTTGTTTACTGATAATTAATCACATTCCTTAGTAGAGCACTCTTTATAACCCTTCCTGTTCTCATGACTCAGCACTAGCACCTACTCCCTCTTACATTGCTAAGTAACTTAAAAACTTGCAGGACAAACAGAAAATGGGCTGGTTTATTTTAAAGAGGGAAAATTAACATGTGGATGTTGAGAGAATTGACATAAACTCTTAGATATTTAGGGCATATTTCTAAGCATTCTTTTGTTTGTTTGTTTATTCAAATTGATTCAATTGCATTTATGAGAGATATAAACTTGTCTGTTGTTAATAAACCTGGTTTTTACCATAATGGTTTGTGAATTAAAGAGAAAGAACTGGGGGACCAGCAGTTAGCGTAATGGCTATGTTGCTGGACTCCCATGTAGCCAACCGCAGTTCGAGTCCCGGGCCCAGTGGCTTAAACTCACGCCGGGTGCATGTGCATGCGTGCCCAAGATCCCGAGAGAAGAATGGAGGAGAAGGGATTGTGGCATGGGTGATTTCTCGTTTTCTATCTCTGTCTTTTTGGCGAGCACATGTGCCCTATAGCAAAAACCTCTCTAAAAAAAAGAGAAGGAACTGGAATTCGAAATGCAGCATCTTATTCCAGCAGGTGGTGGTGGTTAAAGTGACTTGACTCCCACATAGCCAGACATGGTTCTAGTCCCAGACACAGTGACTTTAAAAATCACACTGGGCACATGTTTGTGCATGCCCAAAATCTTAAGAGGAGAATGGAGGAGAAGGAATTGTAACATGGGCATCCCCCCTGAGGGGTGATTTCTTACTTTCCCTCCTTCTGGCAAGTGCACATGGTCTATGGCAAAAACCTGGGGAAAAAAACTAATAATACAAAATAAAATATGCTAGTTGAAGCCAGTGATAGTCATTGCATTTTAAAACTATGTAATGAGGGGAAAACTCATTCCCTTGGAGTTTAGAATTATGTGTACTTTGTCTTTTGAGCTGGGAACATACCTTGTTATAAGCTGGGTGTATTCCATATCTACTTTCATGAAGACTTACTTAAATATTTTAATTTTTAAATTTCTTTTCAGCCATCTCTTCCTGTACTCTATACCCTGTCTAGCCAGGCTACACATGAAGCTGTTCATCTCCTTTGCAGGATGTTGGTCTTTGATCCAGTAAGTAGTGTTTGTTTTTATAATTTTTTTAAAGAAGTATTTTATTAAATTTTATTTACTTATTTTAATTTGACCAGAGAGGGACAGAGCAGGAGAGAGAGAGAAGGAGAGAAAGCAAGCCACCAGGTCTGGGACTAGAACCAGAGTCAGCCATGTGGGAGTCCAGCACCTTTAGCAACCATACCACCTGCCAGCCCCTTTATAAATTTTTAATGGATTAAAAAAATACATGTGTTCTAAGAGAAACAGCCTGGTTTTGAATAGATTGGCAATATAAATAATGACTTCCCAGAAGATAAGTTTCAATCCCCAGTTTTTATCATACAGAAGTTTGACATAGCATAAAAGCCTAGGTAGAAAAATAAGGAACTGTACCATCCCTACTGATCTCAATATTTTTAAAAGAAACTTGACACCTAATCAGAAGGGGAAAAATTTAAGATTATTTGAAAAAACCTGCCCATTATATATTTCATAAGGAAATGTTTATTGGAATGTTGAGAGAAGCGTAGCTGTTTCAAATGTCTTTCTGGACTTGACTCTTCTGGGATATGCCACAAATTACACCATAAGTTCACCTCTTCGTTTATTCATTCGTCCCAAAAATTTTCGTTATTCACGTTTTTGCAGTAACTATTGTCAAAGACTCAGAAAATGGAAGCATTTAGAAAAAGAAAAAATGTTACTTGCCAAGAAATACTAGGAAATCAGCAAATACAAAACACAACAGGTATTTGAAAGGTAATCCACAAAATTACCAGTTATTAAGTTTACATTTGTCTATTCATGATAAGAAAACAGCACTTTCTCACATGATTATCAAATCCACAAAGGTCATACCTATCTTTAGACATCAGCATAACAAAGATCAGGGGTAAAAGTATGTTCTGTTAGGGAGGCCAGGTCTGTGGGACCTGTTAGGACTTTGTCATTTAGTGGACAGAAGCAATCACAGTGACCTCAGTCACTTGTGTGATTTATCAGGTTACAAAGTGACTATTTGTTGCTGTTAATTTAGTACTTGTTTATTTTTATTTTCTTTTGTTTTACAGTGGTTAGGACCTGTTTAGTGAGAGAAACATCAAAAAGTGGCAATTCCTGCTTCCATAGCCTCTCCTTGGGGTCAGGGTCTCCCCAGTTAAGGTCTTTTTCAGTCACATAACTTTAATGAGCTAGTGATTTATAATAGTATTGTTAGTTTGATATTTTATTTGGCTAACAGTTTATAGCTAACAGAAGATATTGGTTAATAGGTAAAGACCTCTGTTTGTATGACTAACAAAACTAAGTTCAAGCTTCAGAGGTCATTTCTGTCTGCCCATAGATAATTTTATAAAGGTCCTAAAATTTACTTTGATGTGTAAGAAATATTCTCTTTTTCAGTTCTGTTTAGATTAGGAACCAAGAACTATGTAATTTACCTCTACCAAGTTCGTTTGCATTTCTTATAAAGCTGTTTCTCTGAGAGTCCATGTTTATTAATACGCCTGTCCTGCCAGGAAGTCAAAGTCTTTACAACTTTTTTGTGTTGTTATTATTATCATTATTTATTTATTTAGCCAGAGGCTGCATGCACTTGCTGGAGAGAAACAGTGATGGAGAGAGAGAGAGAAAGTGAAAAAGTACCCTCCATCGGAAGTGGTCATACTGCAGTCCCTTCCCTTCCATCTCTCCTTTCTTAAGGGATTTTGGGCATACACACACACAAGTGTCCAACATGTATCTCAAGCCTCCAGGTCTGGGACTTAAACTGCAGAGCCTGCCATGTGGTATCCAGCTGCCTTTACCACCACACCAAGGGCTGGTCTCATCAACCTTTAAGGCTTGAATTTCCTAAGCAGTAGAGCATGTAACAAGCAATTTTCCTTGGCTGCCTTTTTGACATAAATTCTACAAATAATAAGCAGTCCTTCTTTTTTTTTTTTTTTTGTTTTGTTTTGTTTTGTTTTGTTTACTGTGTGAGTGAGGTCATATTGACCCTCAAAAAATTTCAGATTTTGGAGCATTTTGGATTTTCAGATTAGTATTGCTCAACCTATGTAAGGAAAAAGCAGAAACCACCTTAGGATGATAAGGCTATAGGGCTTTGATCCTTATATTATAATAATGTCAACAATATTAGAAAGGGTAGAGTATGATAAACAGTTTACATCAAGATTTAATAACTATTACTTCAAAATACTGAAAACAGGGCTTGCCTCATAGCTCAGTGGTTAAGGGAGCCAGATCCCACATGACTGACCACAGTTGAACTCCCAGTCCAGTGGCTTTAAAACATGCTAGATGCATGTATGTGCATATCCAGGGTCCAGGTTGGAAAAATGAAAAAGAGATATTAGTGTGACTCTGCCCCACTGGAGGCTATATCCTCCTTTTCTCTCTCTCTCTCCCTGCCCAGCCCCCTCTTTGCCTGGTGAGCACCTGTGGCCTCTACCGATGAATGGACAGCAGGAAGGAGACATTAAGTCTTCAGATACTTTAATTTATCCAAAAGCAGTAAATATTTATAAGCAGTAATTTAAAGGATAACAATAAGTAACAGTAGTTTTTTGTTTTTTTTTTTTTAACTTTATCCATTCATTTATTCTAATTTGACCAGAGAAGGACAGACCAAGAGAGAGAGAGAAAGTAAGAAAGCAAGCCACCAGGTCCAGGACACGAACCTCAGTCAGCCATGTGGGAGAACAACCCCTTTAACCACCACATCACCTGCCAGCCCCAGTAACAGTAATATTTAAGAATTTAGGCTGAATTATTCGCCTTTTTTCCCTTGACAAACAAAACACATCTGTTTTCTTGTGCACTCGTCTTCTGTCATCATACACATTCTTATTTACATTCTTAAAAACAACCATATGTACTTTAATATAACCCAAGGGTAGTACACATCTAAATTATAATTATTAACTCACTCAGATTTGATTTGATAATTTACCCAAAGAATTATCCTTCATAGGCATATTACATGACCTCTTCATCTTATGTAATTCTATACCTGACATTAAAACTTTTCATTTGTTTAAGAAATATTCACTAACCAAGAGTATTATTTCAAGTTCAAAAACTGATTTTAGCCCGCTGTGGTGGTACGTGCCTGCAATACTCACTATTCAGGAGGCCAAGGCAGAAGGACCATTTTGTGAGGGGCTAGAAGGTGATGTGGTGGCTAAGGTGCTGAATTAGCTGACCACAGTTTGAGTCCTGGAACCAGCAACTTGAAAATCATGCTGGGCGCATGTGTGTGCATGCCCAAAATCCCAAGAGGAGGTCAAAATGGAAGGGATAGCACCCTCCCCCAGGGTAATTTCTCACTTTCTCTTTACAGCAAGTGCACACACTCTATGGCAAAAACCTAAAAAAATTTTTAAAAGTGACTTTGTGATTCCTTTCTCAATTTAGCAGGACAGTGTCTTCTGGGGATTGGGCTCTTTTTTAATGTTTACCCTTATAAATGAAGTCCTCTTTCTTGGGAACCAGCAGTTAGCGTAATGGCTATGTCGCTGGACTCCCACGTAGTCAACCACGGTTCACGTCCCGGACCTGGTGGCTTAAAACTCACACCGGGCGCGTGTGCATGCGTGCCCAAGATCCCGAGAGGAGAATGGAGGAGAAGGGATTGTGGCGTGACCATCCCCCCTGGTGGGTGATTTCTCGCTTTCTGTCTCTCTGTCTGTCTGGCGAGCGCATGCGCGCTATAGCGAAAACCTCTCAAAAAAAAAAAATGAAGTCCTCTTTCTTTAGCCTTATTTGAGAGATCCTAAAGAGATATTAGTTTGTTTAGAGAACTTTAAGTTGATCATTGCTTGACAGAAATTTGACTTGCTTGTTGTTTAAAAGTTTCTTTTAGGTGGGACCAGCAGTTGATGTAATGGCTATGTCACTGGACTCCCATGTAGCTGACCGCGGTTCAAGTCCCGGACCCCGTGGCTTAAACTCATGCACTCACATGTGTGCCCAAGATCCTGAGAGGATAATGGAGGAGAAGGGATTGCGGCATGGCCATACCCCCGAGGGAGTGATTTCTCACTTTCTGTCTCCCTGTGTCTCTTTGTCTTTCTGGCGAGCGCACACACTCTATAGCAAAAACCTCTCCAGAAAAAAAAAAAGTTCCTTTTAGGTAAAAGACTTTAGAGGAACTCATGTAGGTGCAATAGGATGTACAGAGCATGCTATCAAGAGTTGAGGAAAACACCAACATCATTTCTTTTTTTTTTAATATTTATTAAAGTTTATTCATTTATTTTTAATTTGACAGCGAGAGACGCAAAGAGAGTGAGCGAGAGAGAAAGAGAGGAAGTGAGAAAGCAAGCCACCAGGTCCGGGAATTGAACCGTGGTCAGCCATGTGGGAGTGTCCAGCACCCCAACCACCATGCCACCTGCTGGTCCCCACACCAAAATTATTTCAACCATGCATTCTCCAAGGTCAGGAAGTAACAGAATCCTCAGACAAAAAAAAAAAATGTTAACAAGGAAGCCAGATTCCAGCTGCTGGTGGCAGCTGACTGGGACCCATTTGCTGACTTTTGCCACCTAACAGAAATGAATTAACAGTCAGATGATAAAATTAAAATCCAGATTAACTTGCTGCTTCCACCAGTGTAGACAGTGACATGCTCAGTCACAAACAGATCCAACCAAGAACCATACTAAGTGTGTAAAAGCCAGAGAGCTCAGTCCCACATGTGTGACTGGCCGGAAAAGCCAAGGAAGGGAGGCTGAGGGCTCAGAGTGGCCCAGGATGGGCAGCTGTCAGCCTGCTTGCTTTCTGGGGTTCAAACTGGAGGACTCTCTTCAACTGGAATCTCCTCTTTTTAGGGAGAAAAAAATGAGGGTTTTTTTTTTTTTAAGAATTATTTAATTTTATTCATTCATTTATTTTAATTTGACCAGAGAGAGAGACACAAAGGAGGGAGGGGAGTGAGAAAGCTAGCTACCAGGTCCAGGACTTGAACTGTGGTCTGGCATGCAGGAGTATCCAGCATCTTAACCACCACGGTACCTGCTGGTCCTGGAAGAAAAAATGAGTTTATTTCTAAGAGTTAAATTGCAGAAAGGGTAGATTACCGCATATAAAACAACAGGAACCAAAGAGAAAAAACTAAAGTTACCAAGTTTACATCTATCCATGGTAGATAAATGGCACTTTCTTTTGTGATTATCTTAACTTAAAAGATCATAACATGTCTTTTAACATCAGCATAGCAAAATAAGAAATAAAAGTTTTTCTAGGAAATCCAGGTTTGTGGGAAAGATTTAACATTTTCTAATTTAGGAGACCAGAACCATTACCATTCAGGAGAGTCAGTTACTTTTGGTCTACTTGAGTGTAAGACCATTTTCTTGAGCTAGCTAGATGATGTGGTAGTTAAGGGGCTAGATCCCACATGGCTGACTGTGTGGTTCAAGTCATGGACTTGGCAGCTTGAGAAACAAATGAGGTGCATATTCACGTGTCCCCAAATCCATAGAGCCAAGTGACCATCTATCGCAGATGGGGGTGGGGTGGGGGTGCTATTTCACTTTCCCTCTCGCCAGCACATGCTTCCTATAGCAAATTTAATAACTTTTATTTTTAGAATTGTTTTATGTGAAGTGCTTGATTATATTGGAAACAGGGCAAGTGTCCATTTTTGTTCTTCTGTCTCCTATTGAGTCTATCCTTAGATCCTTTCAAATCCACTTTTTTGCAGAAGTACTTTTTTTTTTTGGAGAGGTTTTTGCTATAGGGCATGTGCACTCGCCAGACAGAGAGACAGACAGAAAGCGAGAAATCACTCCCCAGGGGGGATGGCCACACCGCGATCCCTTCTCCGTTCTCCTCTCGGGATCTTGGGCACACACGCACACGCGCCCGGCGCGAGTTTAAGCCACCGGGTCCGGGACGCGAACCACAGTCGACTACGTGGGAGTCCAGCGACATAGCCATTATGCCAACTGCTAGTACCTTGCAGAAGTACTTAATACGTCCATGGAGCTTAAAGGAAGGACAGTTTTTCTCTTTACAATTTTAATGGAGTAATGATTTTAAAATATATGGTTTATAGGGCCAGCAGATGGTATGGAAGTTAAGGCAGCTGGATACCACATGGCCAACTGTGTGGTCTGAGTACTGGACCCAGCGGCTTGCAAATCATGGCAGGCGTGGGGGGGAGGGGGACAAAATCCCAAGAAGAGAATGGAGGAGAAGGGATTGCAGTATGGCCAATTTCTCATTTTCCCTCTGTCTCTTTCTCTGTCTGGAAAGTGCATGCATTCTATAGCAAACTAAAAGTAAAATAAAATCAATTAATTAATTAAAATATATACACACATGTGTGTGTATACGTGTGTGTATACGTGTGTGTATATATATATATGGTTTATGTAAACCTGAAACCAGTGTGTTACATACAGTCGGACCATCATTACCACCTAACTCCAGCTGCTATAAATATGTTTTTGTCCTAGTCTATTTGATACTCTAAGAGAATAAAAGTTTTAAGTAGCTTTGTAAAAATCTCACTGTGATCACATCTCTTCTCAATGATGGCACGTATTTAGAAAACATAGCCTATTTAAGATGTAAACTTGCCCTCTTCAAAGCATTACATATTTAAATGTCATGATACTTGTCAGTTTTGACCCTGCAGACATCTATTTCAAAGTAGGAACTTTTCAGAATTTTAGCAGAAAAGCACTTCTAAGTGCACTTCTAAGTATTTTATGGTGGTAGATGTTAACAGTTTTTTGCCCCAAGTTACATACTCCCTATGCTGCAATATTACCCACTCCAAATTCAAATCGCCCTTTTTTCACAGGATGAACTGTAAATTAAGTATAAACTGTGGAAAGTGGTCATTGTGTCTTACAAAAGATCCTGTGTGGACAGCCATGTTTATCTGTAGTGTTGATGTGCTGGTCTCTGAATTTGATTTCAGTCCAAGAGAATATCCGCTAAGGATGCCTTAGCCCACCCCTACCTAGATGAAGGGCGACTACGATATCACACGTGTATGTGTAAATGTTGCTTTTCCACCTCTACTGGAAGAGTTTATACCAGTGACTTTGAGCCTGTCACCAATCCCAAATTTGATGACACTTTTGAGAAGAACCTCAGTTCTGTCCGACAGGTTAAAGGTAAGTATCTTTTATGACCTTTGGCCGGACAAGATGACTGTTTGCGTTTTCCATTATGTGCCCTAGAGCTGAGATCCAGAAGGTGACCAAAGCACCTCCACAGGTTTATTTTACAGCCTTGTATATAGCGCTTTATCCAGGGCATATAGCCAAGAAAGCTGTGTTATAAAATCCTGGTTTAATGTTACATCCAGGGGAAAGTCAGGCAGAGGAACGAATACGTTGTTTTTATTTTCAACATCTATTTAGTGTAACTCAATATATTTGGTATGTATTCACTCAACATCATTCAATGAATAAAACACACTGGACTTACTTATATAACACATAAAATTCTCAAAAGGATAAGACCCACTAAAAGAATCATTCCTTGCATGATGACAAGAGAAGGGAATTTCTGATAGTTACTCATAAAATTTCATGGCACACTCTTCTAATTGGGATAGGATGGGGTGATGGCGTCCAAATTCTGAGTGGTTTTTGTGTCTGCTCTAAGATATTTTAAAATACTGCCTAGTTCCCATAACAACCAGGCCAAACCTATGTACCTAAATGCCAACTGAGGTTTTTAAGTGCTCTTCAAAAAGGTGATAATTACCAGCAATATAGACGAGCTCATCCATAACTGTGGAGTCTCTCCAATTTCAAGACCATTTTACTCTTTCCAGTTATGGGGATTCCTTCTGTGTAATGCCACCCTGGGTTTTTTTCCTTGTGGTTAGCAACTACAGTTTTTGGTTTCAGAAAAGTTTAGTTGGATTCTCTATAGAGGATGTGTTCTCGATATAACAGTAGCCGTGCTATTCAGATGCTGCCTAGAGTAAGTGGAGGCCCCGCTGCTCCTAGGCCTGCAGGTTGGCGTGGATTGCATGATGTTTGTTCTCTCCACAGAGATTATTCACCAGTTCATTTTGGAACAGCAGAAAGGAAACAGAGTGCCTCTCTGCATCAACCCTCAGTCTGCTGCTTTTAAGAGCTTTATTAGGTAACTATAGAATTAAAAGAATGTTGTGATTTTTTTTTTAGTATATTTCTATTTGTACCTCAATAACATAGATGAAAGATCCAATAGAGAGTTTCTATTGCAAATTTTGGCTTTTAGTCAAAAGTGTATTTAAAATGTACATGTCAGCTTCAATGCTGGCACCAGCTCTCTGTGGCTGCTGTGGCCGCTTTCTCTGGGATGACCATTGTGCTGCCTGATAGTGCGTGTGACGGTCCTACTCAGTTTCCACTATTCCTGTTTCTAATAATAACTGAAAGCAAGAAAATTGTGTCTTTACAGGTTGACTGCTGGTGTGGCCTGTTTAGAGGAGAAGCCAACAGCAGGCTTTTGGTAGAGTTATGAACCTAACCTTGGAACTTAGCAAGCTTCATTCTCTTTGTCTTCTGTCCTTTTGATCTCTCCTTCACTACCTCCTTTAATCAGTCAGAGTTCCGTCAAGGGAAGGAACCCATGCTAGTGATATGAGTGGGGAGAATTTAATAACAAGTATCATTAATGAGGAAAAGATAGTTAACTGTTAAAAGGCATAAGAGGATTCTGAGGGATCCTGAAGTAGCAAATGCAGAAAGCAGCTACTGCCTATAGACTGAGGGATAGTGAATAGTGAAGAAAGGAAGAACTTAGAAGAGGCTTTCAACCCAAGGACCTCTTTGGGGAGGATCTGGCTGCCGCAGGAGCACACAGCATGAGAGTGGTGAAGAATTGTGCCAAAAGGTGTAGGCAGAACTGATCCATCAGGAAGGCCCGCTGGGTTGTAGAGAAACTTGCTGGCAGACCAAAGCTGAGCCTTCCACATCAAAACAAACGACAAAGCCCACTAGATCCTGGAGTAAAGCTGCTTCCTGATGCTACAACTTCGTAGTGCCCCTCCAGCGCCCTCTACTGACAAAGGCTAACATTGAGCCAGTAGTAGCAAAGAACCTGAACTGGGCCTGGCTCTATTTTGACGAGGAAGGGGTGGGTTTAGATCTGAGTCCACCGTCTCCTTTCTTCCCTACCTGCCTCTCTCTGCTTTCCCCCTTTCCCTGCTTCTTTCCATTTCCCGCATACTGTTGAATTTGTTGGAATTTGTTGATCCAAAGTCAAGAATTTTTGTTTAAAATTTATAAAATCATTTCTTCCATATTTTTTTTGTAGAAAGAGAAATTAAGTTGAATTTTTACTTCTGTGGTTTTAAATTACTTTAATATTTTTTTGTGAGTCAGTGACCTAGTAGATTGGATATGTTAGCATCTTCCAGGTGCAACTCTTTGTTATCCTGGGCCCTAAAGAAGCAAAATGGTCACACCCTCCTCCACTCAAGATTATGTTCAAATTAGCAACCTTAGACAGACTTGGGAAATACTGACAGATTTGTGGATAACAAATGCTAACTGGTTTTTGCAGGTTTAATTGGAGAGTTTTTTTTTTAATAATTATTTAACTTTATTCATTCATTCATTCATTCATTATAATTTGACTGGAGAGGGACAGAATGAGAGAGAGAGAGGGAACGTGAGAAAGCAAGCCACCAGGTCCAGGACTTGAACCACGGTCGACTATGTGGGAGTGATCAGCACCTTAGCCACCGTGCCACCTGCTGGTCCCCCTATAGAGAGATTTTTGCTATAGGACAGGTGCACTCGCCAGAGACACAGAGAGAAAAAGTGAGAAATCACCCCCCAGAGAGTATGGCCATGCTGTAATCCCCTCTCTTCCATACTTCTCTCAGGACTTCAGGTACACACACAACACACACATACACACACACAGTTGGCATGATTCTTCAAACTGCAGAGTCTGGACCTTGAACTGCAGTTGGCCATGTAGGAGGTTTAACCACTATACCTAACGACTCCTTCACCACTATGCCATCTGCTGGCCCCACAAATGCTATTTATCCATAGTATTCCATTAATTTTTTTTTAAGAATTATTTATTTTAGGGACCAGCAGTTGGCATAATGGCTATGTCACTGGACTCCCGTGTAGTTGACCACATTTGAGTCCCAGACCCGGTGGCTTAAACTCACGCCGGGCAGGTGCGTGCATGCCCAAGATCCCGAGAGGAGAATGGAGGAGAAGGGATTATGGCATGGCCATCCCCCTGGGGGGGGATTTCTTGCTTTCTTTCTCTCTGTCTCTGTCTTTCTGGTGAGCACATGCACCCTATAGCAAAACCTCTCCAAAGAAAAGAATTATTTATTTTATTTGATTTGTTAGTATTATTTTATTTGACCAGAGAGAGAGAGAGAAAGGGAAAGTCAGAAAGCAAGTCACCAGGTCCAGGACTCAAACTACAGTCGGCCATGTGGGAGTCCAGTGCCTTAATCACTGCACCAGTACCTTAACCACTGCACCACCTGCAGCCCCTCCATTAATTCTTGAGAAAACAACACTTACAAGGTTCATTCAAAATAAATCCCCACTTGGGGTCCACAGATGGTGTAGTAGTTACATGTTGGACTCCCACATGGCTGACTACAGTTCAGGTCCCAGACCCAGTTGGTTGAAAATCATGCCGGGCGTGTGTGCATGTATGCCCAAGATCCCAGAAGGAGAATAGAGGAGAAGGGTTTGCCACATGACCATCCCCCCAGTGTGTGTGTGTGTGTGTTGGGGGGTGGGGGTGGTGATTTCTCACTTTCCTTGTGTTTCTCTCCAGCAAGCATGTGAGCCCTATGGCAAAAACTTCATTAAAAGGGGCCAGGCAGTGTCGTAGTGAAAGGTACTGGATTCCCACATAGCCAACCATTATTCGAGTCCTGGACCTGGCAGCTTGCTTTCTCACTTTCTCTCTCTCTTGCTCTCGTTCTCTCTCTCATTCTGTCCCTCTCTAGTCAAATTGAAATAAACAAAAGAATAAATAAATTAGTTAAGTTTAATAAAATAATTCTTTTTAAAAAGGGGAGAGAAATAGTAAATTCCCATTTAAAGTCATTTTATTTAGAGACACTACTTTTTGTTTTTTATTTTTTAATTTTTTTTAGGTTTTTGTTATTGGATGTGTATATTCACTGGAGAGAGAGAGGGAAAGTGAGAAATCACCTCCCAGAGGGGGTGGCCACACTGCTAACCCTTCTCCATTCTCCTCTTGGGATTTTTGGCATGTACGCAATATGTGCCCAGCGTTTTGGGGTTTTTTTGTTTTTTGTTTTGTTTTGTTTTTTTCTTTTTTGGAGAGGTTTTTTCGCTATAGGATGCGTGTGCTCGCCAGACAGACAGAGAGAGACATAGAGACAGAAAGTGAGAAATCACCCTCCAGGGGGGATGGTCACGCCGCAATCCCTTCTCCATTCTCCTCTCGGGATCTTGGGCACGCACGCACACGCGCCCGGCATGAGTTCTAAGCCACCAGGTCCGGGACGCGAACCGTGGTCAACTACGTAGGAGTCCAGCGACATAGCCATTACGCTAACTGCTGGTTCCCTGCCCAGTGTGTTTTAAACCTCCAGGTCCAGGGCTTGAACTGCAGTAGGCCATGCTTGAGTCCAGGCCTTAACCACCAAGCCACGTGCTAGCTCCATGGAGAGGCTTTTTTTTTTTCCCTTTTTTTTTTTAATAGAGATTTTTGCTATAGGGTGCATGTGCGTGCCGAAGAGAGAGAGACAGAAAGCAAGAAATCACCCCACAGAGGGGGTGGCTACACCACAGTCGCTTCCCCTTCATCCTCTTGGGATTTTGGGCACGCACGCACATGCTCCACGTGAGTTTTAAACTACTGGGTCCCGGACTCGAACCATGGTCGACTACATGGGAGTCCAGCATCATAACCATTATGCCATCTGCTGGTTCCATGGAGAGGCTACTTTTAAATGGATAATTCTATATCCTTTAAGGTTATTTTCCTGATTGATTATAAACATTATTGTTTATAATTTCTACGATTTTCTTTACCATTATGAAGTAAGTACTTTGGAAAGCACTTCACCTACATTATCCTAATTATTCATCACAATATCCTATGAGGTAGACAGCATTCTCTCTTTCCAAATGGGGACAGATAAAGGAGCTTGCTCAGTGCCATACAGCTGGTAAATGGCATGTTATTTTCAAGCCCGTGTATTAGCCACTGTACCATATTGCCTCTCTTTGGATAACAGATCCTTAAACCAACGATCTGGAACAAATTGAACTTCAGAGAAGTTAAAGAAACAGAACAATCTGGAAGTGGACTTTACCATTTTTTTCAAAGAAAGAGAGGCAGTAGTGAATTATCTTTTTTGTCCGTTGCAGTATTGGAACTAATATCGCCATCTCTCCGTTTTTCTTCCAGTTCCACTGTTGCTCAGCCATCTGAGATGCCCCCATCTCCTCTGGTGTGGGAGTGACGGTGGAAGATAATGTACTACTGAAGATGTAATGTAGCTTTCCACTGGAGTCTGGGATTTGCAATTCTGGAGGTTAATCATGCTTGTACTGTAATTTTACTAATGAAGTTTTAAATTAACAACCACTACTTGTATGATATGAATAATATTTAGAAATGTTACTAGACTTTTAATCTTGTAAAGTGGTTGTGCTTTTAGAAGAAAAATATTTTACCCAGAGTTGCACATGTTTTATGAATTTAGTGCAGCTGATGGCTCACCTCAGAACAAAACAGAATTGAACCAAATTTGGGAGTTTGGGGTTTTGTGTTTTTGTTTTGTTTTGTTTTGTTTTTCTTTTTTAAAATGAAATGAGATTGTTCTCACATACATACATATACACACAAACACACACACACACACACACACACAGATCAGTCATACATTTTGATATTTGAGCCATTCCTAAAGATTTGGGTTTTCTGAAATGAGAGAATCTGGAAACCTTGCCTGCGACCAATCATGGAGCCACGTGAGCTGATCGTGGCTGCACTGGGGGGTGGGAGGAGGGGCATGCCACCCAATGATCAAGCCCTATAACTAGCTTCTCATTAGAGCCGTGCCAGTGATGTGTGCTGTCTAACATCCAATGTTGTGGGTAGAGAGAATGAGTTTGTGACTAGGAGAGACGAAACTTTTGTTTTCCTTACCCAGTATAAATATATATATAAATATTTAATCTATTTTTATTAGAAGTTTTTCTGCTCTTTCTTACATAAAAGAACCCCAAGCATGCATCTTTCATGTGTGTAAATAATACATTTCTGGGCTAATTTCAAAAGAATCCCAACATTGCTGTATAGAGAGAGAACTAGCTTGCACATTTTAGGTCTGTGAAATTTTGTGAGACTTTTCCTGCACTGGACAGTAAAAAATAATAATAATAATAAATAAAAGACAAAAACAAATTAAAAAAAAAAAATTAAAGCCACAAAAAAAGGCACATAGGGAATTATGTCAAATGTGTTTGTGTCCTTAGGCAAAACTGTGGGAGTCTTGAAATGTCACAGTAGTAAATAACTTATTACTTTTTGACAAATTCTTTTTCTGTTGGAACACTGAATTCTTCTGTGCATATGTATATACGAACACAAACTGAAGGCCTCTACCTCCTGGAGTTATACAACTTGGCTTGTTTACCTCCACATGCTGATGATGACTATTTTTTTTTTTTTTAAGTTCAATGTGGAGACTTGAAACTTGAATGTCCCTTCCAACTTTTATATTAAAAATAAAAAGACAAAATTGAAGATCGTTTTTCACCTGTACAAGGAATACTAATGGATCGTCTTAAAATTGGTCTAGGAAAAAAAAAAAACCTGGTGTGTGTTATGGACAATTAACTGTTAAAGTTATTGTAAGTTATCTGTATTTAGCAGAGTATTTTCATCTTGAGTGATCTGAGCTGAATTTGAAGACTATTAATAAGTTATGTTTGGAAGTTTTAACTTCAATGAAGTAATTATTTGCTGTGAAAGAAACAAACATTGAATTACTAAACAAAGATGGTGCAATATCTTTGTTTTTTTTTTATGAGGCTCCTGAGAATCAACCCAACTGAAGCATTTCAATTCACTTGAATGAGAAACGTGTTTAGTATCAAAAGAGCCCGAGAAGACACTGGTGTGAAAGGTACAATCTCAGAGGTTGGTCAATTACCGTGGCACACTTTCTGGTCACTTTGTACAATGTAGATTTGAAGTACAGTGGTGAAAACATTAAATGTGACATTTGAAAAAGATGTGTTATCTGTTTTATTTCTATTTCTTTCCTTAGTTTTTTCTTAGGTGTAGCTTGTATCCTGACTTTGCAAAGTTTTGAGACATTTTCTATGTAGATTTTCATTTTGACTTTTGAGAAAATTACTTTTTTTAATCTTCTCAGAAATTTTAGATTGCCAAAAGCATATTGAAAACTTTAACCGATAGGAGTTATTTGATGTTAATAGATACAACATGAAAGTCTTTCCAGGCCTTAGAATCTTTAATTCAATGGTTTTCAAACTTTTTTTTTTCTTTCAAAGCCAAGAACCCTGTTTTCATATGAAATCTTATTCCAGTATATTGGAGTCCCATATATTGAACAAATAAAAATCAATTGCTATGGATGTCGTAGACTGGTGAAGTAGTGTAACGAAGAGACTTGACCCCCTCCCGCATCCCTCCTCTTCCTGTGGACCTCCTAGCAATGCAAAGGTACTTCAGCTAAGGAAGACAACCCAGCTCAGAGGTGGTGTAGTTAAAACCTAAAACCATACTAACTTCAGATTACTTTCCCTGGGGCTGGATAAAGCAACATTACTCTTTTTTGAGAGAGAGAGAGAGATTTTTGCTATAGGACATGTGTGCTCACCAGAGAGATGGAAAACGAGAAATCACCCCCCAGAGGGATGGCCACGCCACAATCCCTTCTCCATTCTCCTCTCAGGATTTTGCACATGCAGGCACACGCACTGGGCACAAGTTTTAAGCTGCCAGGTCCAGAACTTAAACCACGGTCCGACTACGTGGGAGTCCAGTGATGTAACCATTAGGCCATCTTCTGGTCTTAGGCAGCATTAGTCTTAGAGTTTATAGATGACATCTACTTCTCCCTATTTTTTCTTTCTTTTTTTTTTAACTCCCAAGTTTATTTATGTATTTTAATTTTCTGTGGGATGAGTGCACTCACCAGAGAGAAACACAGAGAGAAAGAAGGAAAGTTAGAAAACACCCTTGTGGGGGGGGCTGGCAAGCGGCATGGTTGTAAAAGGCGCTGGACCCCCACATGGCTGACCACGGTTCAAGTCTCGGACCTGGTGGCTTGCTTTCTCACTTCCTCTCTCTCTCTCTGTGTCTCTGATCAAACTGGAAAATAATAATGATAATAATAAATAAAGTTAAATAAAATAATTATTTTAAAAAAAAAAAAAGAAAGAAAAGAAAACACCCTTGTGGGGAATGTCCACGCTGCAGTCCCTTCTCCTCCATTGTCCTCTTGGGATTCTAGGCATGTACACATATGCTCCTTGTATGTTTCTGAAGCCACCGGGTACAGGACTCAAACACAGTCTGCCATGTGCGATTCAGTTTCACTAACCACCATTCCACTGGGACCCCTTCTTTTCTTGATTTAGCTAAATGGATGGATTTGGTTTTTCTGAATAGGTAAATTGGCTGTTCTAACTCCTATAAATTAATACAAATGTTTATTCATTCAACAAATTTCTGAATTCTAAGAATTGCTTTTAAGGAAGCTTTTTTAATATCAATAGTGCTTAGATAAGAAAATCCAATTTCATAATTTATAAGAGAGCATTTTGAATGACACATGTGATACTTAAAACTCAGGTTCTTCGGGACCAGCAGGTGGCAGAATGGTTATGTCACTGTACTCCCCCTAACAACAGGAGCATGTGCGTACATGCCCAAAATCCTGATAGGAGAATGAAGGAGAAGGGATTGCAACATGGCCATCCCATTGGGGGGTGATTTTTCACTCTCTGTCTCTCTGTCTCTCTAGTAAGTGCATGTGAGCGATAGCAAAACTCTCTCCCTCCCCTGCCCCCCTCCAAAAAAAAAAACTAAAGTTCTTCACAGAGAAATGTTAGGGAAAAAAATTGACTTGCGCCCATTGGAACCTGCTTAGTAAACAGAGGTATCTGTGCCTTATTTCTTTATTTTAAATTGTTGAGATCTGTAAAAATGTGGAAATTATAAAACTAGTAGCGTCAGTGTGAACAGGTAAGTTAGGACTATTATCAGCTGCGATTTGCAGTTTAGCATAAGACCTCAAAAGATTGAGGTCATCTCTTGTGATGGCGTATAAGATCTGAAGTGATTTTTTTGTTTGTTTTTCTTCTGTATTACATTGTAAAATACAGTGATGTATTTCGGTCAATGACAGCCTGCATATCCAACAGTGGTCCCATAAGCTAAAAACTTCCAGTGGCCTAGTGACAGGGTAGCTGTTGAAATATCATAGCTGTCAAAATGTCGTAGTGCAAACTACGACAAGTAGTTTGTGGTGATCCTGGTGTAGAGAAAGTTGAATAAAAACGTAAGTTCTTCAGGAAGTGTTCCAGAAGGCAGCATTATCATCACAGGAGATGACAATGTCATGCGTGTTATTGCTCCTAAAAACCTTCCGGCAGGCAGGAGGTAGAAGATGATGATATTAATTATCCTCACCCTGTGTAGGCCTAGGCTAATGTGTGTCTTGGTTTTTAACAAAAAAGTTTAAAAAGTAATAGGAGGGGGAAAGAGGAGGGAGAGAGGAAAGAGGATGGGAAAGGGAAAGGAACGGAGAAGAGGATAAGAGAAGCAAGAAACTTACAGAACAAGATTATCTTGGGACCAGCCGTGAACATAATGGCTGTGTCGCTGGACTCCCATGTAGTCGACCGCGGTTCGAGTCCTGGACCCAATGGCTTAAACTCACGCTGGGCGCGTGTGCGTGCGTGCTCAAGATCCCAAGAGGAGAATGAAGGAGAAAGGATTGTGGCGTGGCCATCCCCCTTGGGGGGTGATTTCTTGCTTTCTGTCTTTTTGGCGAGCACACACCCTATAGCAGAAATCTCTCATAGAAAGAAAGAAAGGAAGGAAGGAAGGAAGGAAGGAAGGAAAAGGAAAGGAAAGGAAAGGAAAGGAAAGGAAAGGAAAGGAAGGAAGGAAGGAAGGAAGAAAGAAAGAAAGAAAGAAAGAAAGAAAGAAAGAAAGAAAGAAAGAAAGAAAGAATTAAAAGAAAGAAAGAATTAAAAGAAAGAAAGAATTATAAAGAAAGGGGTCAGACAGTGGTGTGTAGTGTTTATAACAGAGAGCTGGATCCCACATGGCCAACTGCATGGTTCAAGTCCCGGGCCTGGTGTCTTGAAAAACACACCAGTGCATGTGCGTGCATGCCCAAAGGAAAATGGAGGCATGGCCATCCCCCCAAGGGATGCTTTCTTACTTTCCCTCTCCCTCCGCCTTCGTGTGTATGTGTGTGTGTGTGTATTTTTTTTTGTTAATATTAAGAAAGAAAATGGGGCCAGCCCCATGGCCTAGTAGTTAAGGGAGCTATGACCAACTGTGCAGTTCAGATCCTAGCCTGCAGTGAAAAAGTGGAGATCTCAGAGAGTTTGGAGCATGTGAGACCAGCAGTTAGCATAATGGCTACATCTCTGGACTCCCACATAGTCGACCATGGTTCACGTCCCAGACCCGGTGACTTAAACTCACGCTGGGCGCGTGTGCGTGCATGCCCAAGATCCCGAGAGGAGAAGGGATTGCGGCATGGCCATCCCCCCTTGGGGGGGGGGGGTGGATTTCTCACTTTCTGTCTCTCTGGCGAGCGCACATGCCCTATAGCAAAAATCTCTAAATTTTTTTTTTTTTTTTTTTAAGAAAAAATAAAAGAAGAGAGTTTGGAGCATGATAGCACTCCACTGGGTGGTGCTTTCTCCCCTCCATCACTCTGGCAAGCACATGCACCCTCTAGCAAATGGGGGTGAGGGGGGATGAAGAATGTTCTTGTATAGCTGTATGTTCGTGTTTTGAGCTAAGTGTTATTACAAGTCAAAAGGTTTTTAAAATTTTGAAAGTTTAGGAACCAGCAGATGGCGTAATGGTTATGTCACTAGACTCCCACATAGTCAACTGTGGTTTGAGTCCTGGACCTAGTGGCTTGAAACTCATGCTGGGCACGTGTGCGGACCATTCCTGCCCAAAATCCTGAGAAGAGAATGGAAGAAAAGGAATTGCAGTGTGGCTAACCCCCCTGAGGGGTGATTTCTCACCTTCTGTTTCTGTCTCTGTCTCTCCAATGATCACATGTGCCTGATAGCAAAATGGAAGTTTATAAAAGTAAACATTGTTGGGACCAGCAGATGGCGTAATGGCTATGTCGCTAGACTCCCATGTAGTAAACCGCAGTTCAAGTCCTGGGCCTGGTGACTTAAACTCACACCGGGCACGTGTGCATGCATGCCCAAGATCCCAAGAGGAGAATGGAGGAGGAGGGATTGCCATGTGGCCATCCCTCCAGGAGGGGATGATTTCTTGCTCTCTGTCTCTCTGTGTCTCTTTCCGATGAGCGCATGTGCCCTCTACCAAAAACCTCTCAAAAAAAAAATAAATAAAAAATAAAAACATTGTTGCCATAAGATTAGTTTATTACTGAAGGAAAATATTGTTTTAAAGATTTAGTGTGGTCCTAGTGTCCAGTGTTTATAAAGCTTACAGCAGTGTGTAGTAATGTCCAAGGCCTTCACGTTCACACACCCACTACACACCAAGGGCAACTTCCAGTCCTTCAAGCTCCGTTTGCGGTAAATGCACTGTACAGTTAACTATCTTCATT